GGGCTCAGCCCAGTGCAGGTGACACAAATGCAGCCGTGCTCAGCCCAGTGCGGGTGACAGGAGTGCAGCAGGGCTCAGCCCAGCACGGGTGACACGAGTGCAGCAGGGCTCAGCCCAGCGCAGGTGACACGAATGCAGCCGCGCTCAGCCCAGCGCGGGTGACACGAGTGCAGCTGCGCTCAGCCCAGCGCGGGTGACACGAGTGCAGCCGCGCTCAGCCCAGCGCGGGTGACACGAGTGCAGCAGGGCTCAGCCCAGTGCGGGTGACACGAGTGCAGCCGTGCTCAGCCCAGCGCGGGTGACACGAGTGCAGCCGTGCTCAGCCCAGTGCAGGTGACACGAGTGCAGCCGTGCTCAGCGCAGCCTCCATCCCCCCGCCACAGGCTGGGTCGCCGGTGCCCCCCAAGGAGCAGGTCCCCTGCCCCGCGGGCTGGCAGGTCACCGAGGGCTGGCACGTGGAGGTGACAGGGGCCGTGGACGACGCCGGTGAGCGGCGGGGACGGCGCGGGGGGTGGCGGCGGGCGCAGGCGGGTGACGTGGGCGCCGTGGTGGCCAGGCTGGGAGTACGGGGTGAGCGTGACTGTGGGGCGCCCGCCGCCCGCCTGGCACCCCGCCGAGAAGACCTACCACACGCGGCGGCGCCGGCGCTGGCTGCGCTGCCGCCACCGCCGCCCCGGCGCCCGCGACGCCCAGCACGACGACGTGGCCGCCCTCCTGCGCACGGTGGGGACGGGCACGGGGACACGGCCCCGGGGACAGCAAGGGCGGGCGTGGGGTGGCCATGGTGGGGACAGCAGGGGTGGGGTGGCGGGGACATCGCGGCAGGGACATTGTGGTGGGGATGTGGGTGGCACGGATGGTGTGACGGACATCATGGTGGGGTTGGGGGTGGCATGGATGGGGTGGCACGGATGGGGACAGCAGGGATGGGGTAGATGGAATTTGGTGCCAAGGACAGAGTGGCACCAAAGTGAGTGGCAGGGATGGGGTCCAGGGATGAGGACAGCAGGGATGGGGTGGCAGTGATGGGGGTGGTAGGGGTGGGATGGCAGGGACATGGTGGCACCGGTGGGGACAGCAGGGACAGGGTGGCGGCGACAGGGTGGCAGGGCCGCAGTAGCGGGGCCAGGGTGGGGGGCCGGTCACTCTGCATCCCTCCCCAGCGCACGGTGCCATGCAATGCCACGTGGCACCGTGCAATGCCGTGTCACACCGTGCCGTGTCCCCCGTGCCGTGTCCTGCGCGGCCGCAGCCCCCGCCGGAGCCTGAGTCCTGGGAATACGGTGCCCTCCTGGGCCGCCACTTCCACCTGCAGCCCGAGGCGGGCGACGTGCTCCGGCGGCGCTGCTGGCGCCGGCGCCTGGTGCCCGAGCGCCCCGGCCCCGCCGCACCCCTCTTCCTCCTCGAGGGCACCCTGGTACGGGCGGGACACCCCAAAGGGAGGGGGGACGTGGTGACACCGGCACCCACGCTCAGGGTGCACCCACCCCGCACCCGCAGGGCGCCGAGGGTGAGGACAAGAAGCTGGCACCGCGCAGCGCGCCCCTCGTCCTCTGCGTGTGCCAGCGTGAGCAGTCGGGACCGCGACCGGGGTGGCGGCACGTGGCCTGTGCCGGGTGGCACCCAGGGGACGTCACCTTGCAGGACCCAGCTACTTCCAGCTGCGCTGCTACATCTTCCAGGCCATGGATCTGGCGCCCCGCGGTGCCAAGGACACAGCAGGTGGGCACGGGGGGTGGCACTGCTGGGGGCCCCCAGTGGTGGCACCCCGTGGGGACGCCCTGGGGGCAGTGCTGAGCTCCCACCTTGCAGACGCTGTGGCCCACGTGTCCTTTGTGCACCTGAGCCAGAGCACACGGGTGCTGGAGGGCACCCTGGAGCCCCGCTGGGACCAGACGCTGCTCTTCGAGCGGGTGCTGCTCCACGGGGACCCGCAGGGCGCCCGCGCCGAGCCCCCTCCCGTGGTGGTGGAGGTCTTTGACCAGGACGGCGGGGTGTGCACGGGGCCCCTGCCGCGGGGAGCTGGCAGTGGGGGACACCCATGGGTGGCGGGTGCCCGTGGCTGCAGGGTAGCGGGCATCCCTGGGCACCCGTGGGTGAAGGTGTCCTGAAGGGGGGTGCTCACCCCTGCAAGAGGCTGCCCATGGTGGGGGTTCCCCTGGGGTGGGGGGCACCCCTGAGCACCCCTCATAGGGGAACCCATGGGTGAGGAGCATCCCTGGGTGAGGAACATCCACAGGCAAGGAGAACTTATAGGCAAGGAGTACCCATAGGCGAGGAGCACCCATGGGCGAGGAGAACCCATGGGCGAGGAACATCCTTGGGCGAGGAGCACCCATGGGCGAGGAGCACCCTTGGGTGGGAGGCACCCACAGGAGCCATCCTGCAGGGCGCTGGCACCTTCCTGGGCCGCGGCGTGTGCCGCCCGGCCGTGTGCCTGGACGTGGGGCGCCGGCGGCTGCCCCGGCTCCAGCGCTTCCCCTTGGGCGGCCCCGCGGGGGCAGCGGGAGAGCTGCTGGCCGCCTTCGAGCTGCTGCACGACACCGAGGTGAGCGCGGCCACCTGGCCTCCATCCATCCATCCATCCATCCATCCACCAATCCATCTGCTTATCCAGCTGCCCGTCCATCCATCCATCCATCCACCCATCCACCCATCCATCCACCCATCCATCCATCTGCTTATCCATCTGCCTGTCCATCCATCCATCCATCCACCCACCTATCCATACATGCATCCACCCATCCATCTGCTCACCTATCTGCCCATCCATCCATCCATCCATCCATCCATCCATCCA